AAGAAGCTTATAAACTCATGGAAACTGAACAACTCTCTACTGAATGAAAAACAAGTCAAGACAAAAATAAAGAAATCAAGAACTTTCTAGAATCCAATGAAAATGAATACATAGCATGCCGAAACTTAGGAGACACAATGAAAGTCATGCTAAGAGTAAAGTTCATAGCACTGTTTACATAAAAAAAAAAAAAAGAAAAGAAAAAGAAAATTGGAGAGCTTTCATACTAGCAACATAATAGCACACCTAAAAGCTCTAGAACAAAAAGACGCAAGCTCACCCAAGACAAAGAATCAATGAAACAAAGAATGGTTCTTTGAGAAAAATCAACAAGATAGACAAAACCTTATCCAAACTAACCAAAAGAAGGAGAAAGAACTTCTAAATTTAAATCAGAAACAAAAAGGAGGACATAACATTAGACATCAAGGAAATTCAGAGAATCATAAGCACATACTTTAAAAACATGTACTCTACAAAATTGGATAATTTAAAACAAATGGATAATTTTCTCAATAGGTGCTACTTAACAAAGTTAAATCAAGGTCAGATAAACAATTTAAATAGACCTATTACTGCTAGTAAAGCAGAAGCAGTCATTAAATGCCCTTTCCCTGTAAAAAGCGCAGAATGAGATTGTTTTAGCAGAGTTCAACCAGACTTTTAAAAAAGTGTTAACGCCAATACTCCTCAAACTATTCCACAAAATAGAAACAGAAAGATTCTTTTTATGATGCCATAGTTACTCTGATGCCCAAACCACATAAAGACTCAACAAAGAAAGAGAATTACAGAGCACTCTCCCTTATAGAAGCAAAAATACTCAATAAAATGCTTGCAAACAGGATCCAAGAACACATCAAAAAGACCATTCACCATGATCAGTAGGCTTTATATCAGAGATGTAGGGATCTTCATACAACAGACAAAAATCGGTCAGTGTAATCCACCATATAAACAAACTGAAAGATACGAACCACATGATCATCTCATTGGATACAGAAAAGGCCTTTGACAAAATCAAGCACCCATTCATGATACAAGTCCTAGAGAGATTAGGGATACAGGAGATAAACATTAACATAATTAAGGTAAAGGTTAGCCTATAGCTAACATCAAAATAAACATGGAGAAACTCAAAGCAATTCTACCACAAGACAAAGTTGTTCACTTTCTCTGTATCTATTCAATATAAACTTGAAGTTCTAGCTAGAGCAATAAGGCAACCGAAGGAAATCCAGGGGATACAAACTGAAATGAAAGAAGTCAAAGTATCATTATTTGCAGATGATATGATAGTATACATTGATGATATGATAGCATACATTAAGTGACCCCAAAAATGCCACTAGAGAACTCTGACAGCTGATAAATAAAGTAAGGAATAGGCAGACTTTTCTTTCTTGAGTCTCTAAATGGAAAGAGATTACTATGCACACCAAATCTACTTTGCAGATGTTGCTATACTAGACAATTTCTGGCATAATACTCCAGACATAGTAATTCCAGGGATAAGGAACTGGAAAGAAAAAAGGGTATGAAAATGTGTTTGTTGATGAGGTCAGGACTGAATCCAGGCTTTGCTGGTATGTTTCTATATAGGACATGAGATCACAACATGACTGCTGCTAGCATTTGTGGCTGTTAGAGCAGAACAGTCTAGAATGCAGTCAGTCATTGTCCCACCACCACCTGAGTCTGTTATGTAATACAGAAAAGTCAACTTTATCTAAATTTTACAAAGTTACTACAATGTTAAGTGTTACACTGCTTCAAACAAAATAAACAGCAGTCATTTAAAAATTGGTTTAATGCCACTAATAAACAAACATATATATGTTGTGTAAAACTTACACAACATGTCTTAAGAATAGTTTATAATAACATAGATGATAGTGTGACTTGAAGTTGTGTAGCTGAGGCCTAATCATGTTAGAGTATAATAAGAAGAGGCATCCAAATGCCTGCTAACAGAAAATGATGTTTATTTTACCTTGAGTCCTACCCACACTTTCAAGACCAAGCAGCCAAAATTCAACCTGTGCTCTTATCTGTCCTCTGGTCTTTGAATCTGAACAGCACATTCTGTAACCTATATACGCCCAAATGTCAGTCAAGTATTTGCCAATCTCATCGCTTCATTGAGTTAAATATAAGCTCCCAGAGAACAAACTGTGTGTCCCTATAATATTTAAACAATGCTAGGTCTTCAGATGTTTTCACTGCCTTTATTAGTACCACTTCTTGATCTGCAGAACTAGAAAATCCATTAAATAACATTTCTATGAAACAATAAAACATGGAGCAGAGAGGGCAAACAAACAACAAGAACAAAAAAACTGATGTGGGGCTTTTAAAGCTGATTACCAGGTTGGGGAGATGGCTAGATGGGTAAAATGTTTGCCCCTAAAGCATGAGGGCCTGAGTTTGATCCCAAGCACCCACATAAAGCCAGATGCCTGTGTGTTCATAATCCTAGTGAGAGTCAGTCCAGCCAAATCAACATGTTCTAGTGGGAGATTCTGTCTCAAAAACTAAGGCAGAGAGCAAGAGAGAGAGACAGCTAGCCAACTTTGAGCTCTGACTTCTACTCTCATGTGTCTGTACCTCTGTGTGTGTGTGCGCGCACTCACATTCTTGTACATTTGTGCAGACACAATTTAATTTACAAAGCAGAATGGGTAGTTCTTTAGTCACGGAAATATGGTGATATGGTATGCATATTCTTCGGCAATTACCTGGCTTTACAGACCTCTAAGGCCTATGCATGGATTGTCTCCAGTTCCTTTCTTGCATTAGGTGTGCAGGCTTCACCTGGGGACAGTGGTTTCTAATGTCAGTCCCAAAGAACCCCAAGACTCTACCAGGTGGGATGTCCATCATGGCCATATGACTTGTGGCTGTTCCTGCCCAGGTAGCAAAACAGGTGTTTGGCCTCCAGATAGCGTTAAAAAGATTTCTGCTAATCAAGGACCCTGTTTGCCTATAGTTGAAGGACTATTAGCTAACTCCATAGTGAGTCCCTGCCTTTTAAAGAAGTAAAATGCAAAGCCAGCTTCCCGTCCATTTTTTTCTTCCCTTCTCCTTTAGAGATGGACAGTGGCAGGAATATGAGTAATGGTTTCACCAGTAGTGGCCCTTGATCAAGGAAATGTTCCACCAAATCAGGAGCCATTATTCACAAAGGGTGATTGTGACCTGCTGCTTATCCAAACATGTCAGTAATTCCCAGGAAAAGAGTTAGCCTCGACTACCTCTGTAATTCACTTCTCAGTAATTAGTTCCTCTGCTTCTGCTAGAACTCCCAGCTCACCACTGACCTTGGATAAAAGGCTGCAAACAGTGACATCATTTTAGTACAACAGTACTGGAAAAACAATGCTGCCATCAGACGAAGCTGTGAGCCTCAAGCTTCTCCAACTACAACGCTACGGATTTTCTAAATTCTCCTCATCCCTATCCATGTCTGCATGAAGAGAAAGAGTTAACAATGGTGGCAAGTAAAACCTTTAGATCAATGGCACCTCCACTATAAACCCATGGTTAATGAATTGTTGGGCAATTCGGCTTAAGACTCTGCTCAATGAATGGGTTTTTAAATAGTTCTGTGGTTATGAGGATTAAATGAGATAATGCACATCGGACTCCACCCAGCATGAGACCCAGAGTAGGTTTCATTAAACTCTAAGAAAAACCTTCTAATTAGTATGGTTGATTTTCTTTTAAAGAATGGAGATGACTGGACTGGGGAGATGGCTCAAGGAGTAAAGACGCTTGCTGTGGATTCCTTAACCCACATGGCAGGAGAGAACCTACTACAGTCATGTGGGTGGTGGTGCCTCCCCTGCACACACAAAATAAACAAACGCAATAAAAATAAATTTAAAAGGAGTGGAAGTGTTTATAATCAAATCCCAGTGGTGACATATAAGAAAGCAAAAGCTTCTAAAAATTTAAGGCTTCGATAGCTGTAAATAATGCAAACACACACACACACACACACACACACACACACACACACACACATCAGTGATCAGTGCACAGTCTTGGGGAAAAGCGGGGGCATGATTTGAATCAAGTTCCAACTTTAATGGCCACGCTGCTTGACTTGGATCCTTTGGGCAGTTGGTTAGAAGGTTTTTTTCCTTAGGAATCACACATCGGTTCTATCAAGGAGGGGTAAAAAGAATCTGCCCTTCATTTACCAGTCCAATGACAAGTCGAAGCCCCACCCCTAGAAGCTGTGTGACCCCACGTGTGGCTCGAGGGGACACAACCCACAAGGGGCATAAGAGAGACTAAAATGACCCCGGCTCCCTTTCTTCCAAACGTCAGGTGGTGGTGGGTGGGACAACGGCCAGGGTTTGGTGGCCCCTGACCTTGGCCAGGGTCATTGTGTTTGACACCAGTCCCCTTCTTCGCCGCCTACCCGGCGCTGCGCACTGCCCCTCCCGCCCTCGTGGCCGGTGATTGACACCAGAGTGGGTACATACGGGTCCACAGCGCAGCAGGGCTGGCGTAGGGAAACATGGCTTTTCCTCTCCCGGCCTTCCGCCCGCATCCAGCCCGCCCTGGCACGGCCCGGGGGACACTCCCGACCCCGCCTGGCTCCTCTGCCTGTTTCCACGGGTTTTCATTTCCCTGGCCTGGGAGACTCCTTTCGTTGCTTTTTCTCTACCCCGAGAAAACCTGGAGTTTGCCAAGAGGAAACTCCTGCGAGGGGGATGGACACCCGCCCTGGCTGCTGCTGGCAAGAGGTGGAAACCATTCCAGCCAGGAGTTGATGGAGAGGGCAGGACACGTCCCTAGAGGGAAAGTAACACTCGAAGCGCAGTGCGGGGCCAGCGAAGTCTGCAACAGGCATCTGCAAAAGGAGCGGGCAGCAGTGGTGCCCAGTGCCTGAGTTACTACGCAGCGCATCGCTGTGTCCATCGCAGCGCCGGGGGCTTGCTCCGAGCACACTCGAGGGCCTGCGAGCAATTTTTTTCAGCAGGACTTACCTTTCTCTTCGGCATAGTGACTACGTTGGTGCCGCAAAAAAAGTAAAGCAACGGGCTGGGCCGCTTGGCACGCCACTGGATGCTGCCTAGCTGCTGCAGCTGCTCCCGCAATGGGCTCGGCTAGCCCGGCCTCTCCGACCTGCACCTCCGCTTCCTCCCCCGGTGCTTCACTCGCTCGCATCCCGGTCCCCCAATGGCGAGCCCCGCCAGCCGGCCGCGAGGCCCCATTGGCTGAGGGAACGTTCTAAATTCCACGAGGGCACGCCCACCCCTGCTCACCCGGTACGCGCAGTTGTAGTTTTTACTTCACTGGAAAAAAAATATATTGCCTGGCGACTGAGCATGCCCAGTTCAACCAGTAGCCTTTAGGCCACTATCCTGGAGTTTCATTGTTTCACGAGCCTTCTGTGGATTAGAGCAGTGTGCACCTTCATAAAAAAGAAGAGTTAAGTATTGACCTGTTAACTTTATAATGTAAATAGGAACACGGGCACCCTGTACACTTGTTATACACAAAAGCTTGTAACGGGTGTTCACGGTGTAGATCTGTACAGGGTAGGAAGGTCTTCTACTCAGGAAGTCTTACAGTTTCTAAGGCTCTCAGTCCTATCTCTAGCAAATACAAAAATGTCTTGATCTAATTGTGTTTTATTTTATTATTTATTATTTTAATCTGTGATTACAAGTTACATACAAATTCAGCCAATTAGCTCTGTGTGAAAATGGATATAGTGTGTTGTGGGAATTAGAAACTGAGAAAGGTAGGAACAAATTTATATTTTATGTACATTTAAACAACATATGCCAAGTTACCTTTCATGTATAATGTAATGTTTCTCAAAGTTCTACAGAGAATTGCAAAATGTATGTCTGAACTTATAAAACCTGTTTTATCCTGGTGAAAGACCTGGGTGGTGGGATTAGGGGAGAATTTTAGGTCAACAACCTTTATAAACATAAAGACTCGGATAGAATTTTAGCAAATCAAATTCAACAACATTAAGAAGATAATACATAACCAGGGAAGTTGGCCCTGGGAACACAGAATTTGCTCAACGTCTGAAAATCAATCAGTGTAATGAGCACATTACTTTAATAAATAAGGAATGTGATCATCTTAACAGCTGCAGGAAAAATGCTAGTGAATAGGTGAGCAAGTCATGATAAAGTTGTACAATGGAATATTATCTGCTATAAAGGAAATGAGCTATCCCTGCTCAGATAAGTAGCAAAAGCAAAATGCAAAGTGAAAGTCAATATAAGACACTACAATGAGTAATTTCATTTATATAAAATTACAGGAAAAGCAAACTAAGCAAAGTTAACCTCAGAATCATTCACAAAGCACAAGTCTCACCATAGGAAACTGCATGGAAGCTTTATACTACATAGGGTGAAATTTACCTTGCTCCTACAGAGGCTGCGTGGAAGTATGAAACAAAGTTATCAGACAATTTATTTTAGTGCGGACTTCACCTTTTCTTTGTTAATTTTCATAATGAATGAGTTGAAATCCTTGCAAACTCGAGAAGTAATGAATGACTTCCTTTTTTGGTGTATCTTGATCTTTTTCTGTCACTACTTGGCATGCTTTCAAGGTCCTGCTGCTTTTATTTTCTTAGTGCTCATAGTTTCCCATCTTCAGTCAGAGAGAGTCTTCCTTTGGACATGGTCCCAGTTGTCTGTGACAGATGCCTTACTCTCAGAAACTCAGTGCATGACATTGAAAAGAACTAAGGTAAGATCGATTCATTGCTTTAAAGCTGCAGGAAACATAGAGGTTTGCAATTTTACCACTAAACAAATATTTATAAATGAATACGTCTTGGAAGAGAGTTAAATTGCCAAGTGCTTGGTGGTTGAAGAAGAAGGAAAAAAAAAAAATGCCAGGGAAAATATTTTTAGTAAGATGTGTGGGGAAGATGCTGGGTAGTGTAAGAATGTAATCTGAGTTGAAGTGTGCTTTTGTTTTGGGCAAGTGTTTTGCCACTGAGCTACATTCCCAGCCCTGTTGTTTTTCCTTATGGAGATTTAAGGGTGACAGTGTTAGGGATAAGGTGACTTCCCAAACTCTCTTGTAATGAAAAGTGATTCATAAAGTTGGTTTCTTTCACGGATATTTTTCAAGACCACATACTTAGGTAAGAGTAGCAAACAAAATTACGGTCACTATTTAACGAACACAATAAAACAGTGGTGAAGAAATGAAAGCTTGCTGGCTGGATAAAGAAAGCTCACTGTGGCCCTGGAGGGATGGCTCAGCAAGCAGTTAAGAGTGCTGGCTGCTCTTACAGAGGACCCAGGTCTGATTCCCAGCACCCACTCCAGGTGCCCTTCTCTGACTTCAAGGGCATCAGGGATACACACCAGCAGGCAAAATATTCACAAGTAACACAAAAGGAATAAATAATTTTTTAAAATGATGATTATGAAAAAGCTTGAGTGTTTGAGCCTCTCAGTGCATTTACAAAAACTGGAAACAACTTCAGTTGAAAACAGCAGTGGGTGGCACCTGCCTAAGCAGTGCACTGGAACAGTGTACCCTCCCCACTGGCACACCTTAGTCTTTTATACCCTTCAAGACCAGGGGAATCAGTGCTGAGGGCAGGAGGAAGAGGCAAAAGAATGAGCTGACAGGCAGCTAGAATTTCAGGTTAAGAGCTAAAGAGTCCTGAACTTGCCAAGTGTGGGATGGCAGAGGAGATCAAGCTGAGAGGAGACAAGCTCACCTCTATGGCTGGGTGTATTCCAGAGAGCATTTTCAATGCTTTCCCGAATGACCAACCTCTAAGACAGTGAAAGCTTCTCAACAGGATTCAGGTACTTCATGAACTCAGACAGAGGACAGATGAATCAAGGGAGTACCTGTCTGGAGAAGACAGAAGGGAAAATTGGGAAACAAACTTCAACCTCCCCCCTTTCTTTTTCAAATTTGTTGAAATAGTAAATTTCCTGACCTCAGCCTTTCTAACGGCAAAACCACTTATAGCGTCATGGCTGTCATCAAGGAACAGGGGAGAGAAAGAAACACAGAGAGGATGAAAATAAAATGCATTACTCCTGGTAGACTTAAGTGATGCTTTATAAGATGATTATTTCCATTGGGAGATGCAGCTTTGAACAATCATATTAAGTGAATTAAGCCTCTCTCAGAAAGATAAATATCATGTGTTTTCACTCCTATGTTTTGGCTCCTAGTTTTCATACAGATATGTAGAATCCAATGTGTATATATGACATGACAGTAAAAGAGAAACTGTCTAGAGAAGCAGAGAGGACCAGTGGGATGGAGGAGTGAGAAATGGGCAGGTGAGGAGCATGAAGAGGATGTGCTCAGTGGACTTATATTCTTGTATGGAAATGTCTTTATGTAACAGTACCATGTATCAGTAGACACAATAGAATTTTAAGTAATTTAAAATAAAATAAGATTAGTTCCATTTCCCATATATTTGCACACAAAGACACACATGCTGTGTGTGTGTGTGTGTGTGTGTGTGTGTGTGTGTGTGTGTCTATGTACACTGGGTGTATGTGTGTGCTGTAAGATAAAATGTATTTCTATTATTGGTAACGAATATTTAACAGTAATGCACACTTCTAATGAAGTTTGTGGGGCTTCAGTAATTTGTCTCTGGAAGAAATTTGCTCAATCTTCAAGTCGCAGAAGGAAACTTTTAAAGGAAGTTTGAAAGGAAAAGATTATTTTGCAAATCCCTCCCAACCTCTTATTCCACACCCATCCCTCCCCACCTTTCCCTCCCTGATATAAGGCAGGCTCAGGCAGTTTCCCTTCAGTTTTTGCTGGAGAAGCCAGTTCTGCAGTTTGTAGTATTGTTGCTTCTAATACAATTCCAGATCATATCAAGGGTCTTTAGTTAATAGGTCCATGAATGCAGAGGTGAATTCGAGTGTAACAACAACAAAAACATTAAAAAACAAGCAGAAGATGAGAAAGGAGCACTCTAAGAGGATAATGAGGAAGCAATAACAAGAAGACAAGTATCATGTGTTCTTTTTTTTTTTAATAGAAGAACCCATACATAAATACGTATGTGACATGACACGTAAGAATATTGTGTCTTACAGGCAAAGTGTCTAATTTTCTGACATGTTAACTTTGGGAGGGACTAAAGCAACTGAGGTATTTCTAAGAACCACTGACCCTAAATCAAATGAGTAGCTTACAAACGGTACAGATTCCTCAACTCCAACTCCAACACAGGCTTATAACTGGAGTATGTGTTTCAAATAAGTTTTCTATAATCTAGCTCTAGACTAGGTCTGGGCTCTCAAAACATATGTACCAAATGCTGGGATAGTTGTTCTTCATTCTAGGACCATGATACAGCATTTATGAATATTTCTTTATGAAACTGTGTCTTGTCTGGTATACACTAAGTCCTCTCTATAACATTGTATCTGTTTGGTATACTCTAAGTCCTCTCTATGACACTGTATCTGTCTGGTATACACTAAGTAAACTCTATGACTTCTTTCTGGAATACACTAAGTTATCTCTATGAAATGGTGTCTCTTCTGGTATTCACTAAGTCATCTCTAGATAAGTTCTTGGAACTAATACAGCATGGGCATTCTGAGGATAGCTGTTCTTAGGGATGGTTTATGATATCATAAGTAGTAAAGGAATGCACATCAAATTCTCTTGACTTCAGTATTTCTGCAAAGTGGGAACACAATCCTGTAAGTGAAGTTCTCCATGCAGATTTCACCTTGTGTTCCATTTTCCAGCTTGCCTTGGTACTGATATTTTCCCACTCTTCCTCTTCCTTAGCTTTGAGATACCTGAAGAGGAATTAATCCTGTACACACCCAGATTAAAGCACCTCTATCTTCTCATGAACCATTCAAGGTGTCTCAGACCCCATATCCTCAAAGCCAAAATTCCTGCAAGTCATACCTTTTCATAGTGTTACTATGTTAACAATTTTACAAACACCTGTAGCTATTAGCAGCAAGAGAGACCAGGTTTCTCTGTAACCCTCTGACTGGAAACTTTCCTCCAACTTCCGTCCAGTTTAATCCATGTACAGATAACTTGCCTCAAGTGTATTTACTTTTCCTTGGTTATGATGGTGCTTGAACTTATAGGAATGTGATTAATTCACTCTTTGTAGCTCCAAAATGACTATGTGAATATAAATTAGACAC